TTTTGTTTATACATTAGGCCTTCCTAATCTTAGGTAGGCTATATATTGTTTCAATAGTGAAGTATTATTTCTGAAAGACAAGAGTGTAAAACACCCTGAATCTTAGATACATAAAGATACATATGAATTGAGTTGCTCATTTTCTCTTCTCCTTATCCAACAAAATTCAGAAAACCATCCACTCGCTATACCCCAAGTATTTTACTCTGTATTATTTATGTACCTGTTCTCCCAAAAGATTAAATTTAACAATTTGTTAACACTGCATGTGGCCTAAATGCAAAATTCATCTATTCATTTATCCAACACCATTAAGTATCAAAACAGTGTTTTAAAGATGCAGCAATGAGTAAGTTAATTCCCAGAACTCCCCTCCCCCCTTTAAGCTCAAATCCAGTTGAAAAACTCAAAACAGTCTATTAAACTCTGTATGGCTACTGTAAAAGGTAAAAATGAAACCAAGAAAAATGGAATCAAAAGTTGAACGAACCATTAAAAGAGTACACAAAATAAAAAAATATATAGCTTAATTCCACACAGGAACCAGATGTGTTTCTTGGGGGATTTGAGGGGCGACCTGTATCCATTTAATTTTGTCACCATTAAACTGGCAAAAACAGTAAACACAAAGCTCCAGAAGAATAACCAAGAACACTGCAAGCACGGAGTAAACAAAACCACTGCAAAGTAATTTAAATAACTCTCTAAATACAAAATGGAACTGCCTTAAGAGAAAAAAAAAAATTGCAATATACCTTACCAAAGATTTTTACTTGTCTACAATCTCTCTTCTTTTTGAGGGCCTGAATCTAGAGATTCAGTACAAGAAATGAGCATAAATACTCTTGAGTAGCAAATTTCAAATAATGGTCTTCTTCAACAAACTTTTTTGAGTTTCAATGCCAAAAGACTAAAAGAAATTGACATCTTATACCTTCCAGGAATGCCAAAGATTTCCAAAGAAATACATGGTTCAGGATGCTTTTATTTTTTTTCCTTATTATTCTTCAGTTTTTTGTTTAGTCTCCTGTTCATCATTTCAGGTCATGTTAGGCACTCTCTTTTCCTCTAAATTTTCACTGACTACTTACTGCCTTAAACATCAACCAAACTAGCTGACATGTATTTTAAATCATGTCAATCTTTAAGGTATAATTTAATTACCAAGTCAGTTAAAGCAGAATAATATAGTATCTGGGATTTGCTTCAAAGTAAGGGGGGTGGGCAGACCAAGAGAATATGGAGAAAACAAGATTAGCAATGCACTGAACCTCTATATGACAGAATCATACACTATACTATTATTTCTTCTTTTTTTTGGTATGTTTGAGTGTCATTAAAAAGCTAATGAAAAGATTATATAAAGATGACCATGTTAAGAATTAGATGTTGGGCCTCCCTGATAGCACAGAGGTTAAACAGACACAGCACAATCAAGCTATCGCCAGCCACTGCAACATAAGATCGATCTCAAACAGGGGCTGACCCACATGGAGCAGCAGATCTCCAGTCTCGCTTGCTGCTCCCCTCAGCAGTGTATTTCAGTAGATCGGCCTGTTCTGCTCCCTGCTCTGTCTCTGGTGCATCCTCTCATCCCCCACACCTTTGGCCTATACTCCAGAAATTGTATACATAAATAAAAGAAAAAAAATTAGATGTCAAAAATGATTTTTTAGATGAATGGAAACAATGTAGGAGCCACCATTAAGGTAAGCAGGAGTATGCCCCCCCCCAAAAAAAGCCATAGTTGATGTCACAGCAAATACTGAGAAAATCATGTATCCAGTGATATTCAATCTTTAAAAAGATGAAAGGAGGGGAATAAATTTCTTCTTTACAGAAAAATATGAACCAGTAAGTACAGACAGAATGGAATTTCTAAATACCATCATCTGCCACCTCAAATAACTGATTTACTCAAGAATTATCAATTGGGGCCTCCCCAGTGGCGCAGCGGTTGAGCGCTGGGCTGCGGAGCTGCCCGCAGCCCCTGCAGCGCTGGTTCCATCCCCAGCCGCCTGCGAGGGTCCCACATGGCGCGCAGACCTCTCCTGCCGCCCGCTGCTCCCCTCAGCAGTGTATCGTCAGTCTGCCTGTTCTGTTCCCCACTCTCGCTCTGGTGAATTCTCTCACCCTCCCGCGCTTCTGACTATACCCAGTGCTTGTATAAATAAATAAATAAAATCTTTAAAAAATTAAAAAAAAAAAAAGAATTATCAATTGGTAAATTGATGTAAGATTTTTGAGAAACACAGTATCCACCCAGAGAGGGGAAATAATCCGTTTCAATTAAGAGATCCAGCAGTTCACACCCTAATCAGTGCCCAAAGTTAGCTACCACCAAGAAAGGAGTAAACTAAAATCAAGTACCTTTAGATGTAATATTATAAAAAATTCTATCCAAAAATATTTAAATCGAGTGCTATAAAAGGTTTGAGTTTAGAAGTGACCATAAAGTTTCCAGGTAGTACAGGCAATTAAGAGAAAAGTTAAACACCACCACACAAAAATCAAATCGAACCAGAAAATGAGAAATGTTCTTAATAAAACTGTCCTTGGGCCTCTCTGGTGGCGCAAGGGTTGTTAAGCACGGCACTATGAAGCAATCCGCTCTGCAGCACCAGTTTGATCCCGGGCCAGGCCCGGGAGAAACCCACATGGCAAGGCAGACCTCTCCTGTCTGCCTGGCTGCTCCCCTCACAGTGTATTTCAGTCAGTCTGCCTGTTCTGTTCCCTACTCTGTCTCTGGTGAATCCTCTCTCACACACACACCCCAATCTCTGACCTGTGCCCCAGCTCTTGTATGCATAAATAAATAAATCTTAAAAAAAAAAAAAAAAAAAAAAAGAAAACGAAAACTGTCCTTAATTCTTCTAATTGACAATAATATCCTAGGGGAGAAAAAAACAAGACTATTCAAAGGACATATCAAATAGCCTAACATGTGAACCTAGATTAGATTCTGACAAACAAAAACAAACCCCTATCAATCACATTCTTGTAACAATTGAAAAAATTTGAATGGACTCGATTTTAGAAATGATACATATGACTACTGATTTGCTTAGGTGGGGAATGTTGAAGTATATGGGGCTGAAATAAATGTCACTTTCAATTAAGTATGCATGGAGAGATAAAGCAAATATGGCAAGATGTTTAACAAGTTGATTCTATGGGAAGGATTGTACTGCAGGTGTTTGTTGCAGCTTTTCTCTATGTTCTACTCTTTACACAATAAAACTTGGGGTTAAAATTTTTAGATAAATGTTCAGCATTTCCCATTTACAAAGCTACAGTTCTGAAATATTCAAGGTCATGGCAACATTTCCGTGTCTTTACAATTTTAAATACGGACAAGAATTAACACCGATTTTCTGAAACTTCCAATGACATCTCAGTACATTACCTCTCCACTTTCAGATGACAAAATGCCCGGAAATGGGGCAGCGATACATATTTTAGGTATAATAATTTAAGATTTTGCATTCTCGGGTATTTTAACAGCATGTATTAAACACTGCGAAGATTTCATAACTGAAATCGGGGGACAAGCAAACACAAAATTCAGGTTACCCAATCTTTCCGACTAATGAAACTGTACAGTCACCCAAACACTCCGATTCTGCCTCATCTCTGTCAATCTCTAAACAAAATTTCCACGTTACAAGCTGGGGACTTGAAAAATGAAACCCTAAATGTATTTCGTTGCTATGGCAATGGGAAATTTCAGGAAGTTGAGACTCTGCAGGTTAGCTAGCCTCCATTTTAAAAATTATTTACCTAAACATACCAGACCATAAACAAATGCGATGACATCTTTCATGAAACACCAATTTCCGCTTTCAAACTAAAAGGTAAATATGATCCTACAAAAGTATAAAACAAGAGCAAACGAAACAAATCATATACCTAAAAAACCTGAACTTTTTGAAATGTTTAAATAACACATATCCTATACTAAAAAAGATTCTTTCGTTTACAGTGGTCAAAACAAGTACTTTTCTGATTTATCAAATTCTGCAATAGCTGTGTCGCTGGAAAAACGAAAATGAAATGTGGAAAAAAAGAGAAGAAAAAAGGAAGGAAGCAGGAGACAGAAAAAAATCCCCCAAATTTCAGTATCTCTACTCTTAAGACTTCTTCCTTCATTCGCTCTGGCAAGTCTATTTCTCCAAATTAGCTGCACCTTAAAAATTTCTCAAACTAGTAATCTATTTCTGGGTACAGCTCAGTATATTTCGGAGAGCAGAAATAATATTTTCAAGTTATTCGAAAACAGCGATTACACGTTAAAAAAAAAAAATTCTAACCACCCTAACATCAAAATGGTTATCAAAGAAAGGAATCCCACCCAGAGTCGTCCCATGAACCTGAAAGGGACCAAGCAGCTTCCCGACTATTGTCTAAGCCAAATATTTGTTCATATCAACGTCAAAGAGAAGCAAAAAATAATCATCTTGAAATTAGCCACATCATCTTCCCCATTTCCACCATTCTTCAGCACCCTGTCCTCCAGTTTCCTTAGACCCCCCGATTGTTTCCCCGAGCGAACATGGCTAGAGTACTTGGACGAACAGAGACGTGGAGAGAAGAGGTCGCCACGAGGCCCCACCACTCTCCTTCCTCACCTGCTCTGTGGCTCCGTCTCCTGACATGGCCTGAGCTGATTAGAAGGTGCGAACTGGCCCGGGAGGAGAAGCTAGAAAGGAAAAATTAAACTAAAAACCACCCCCAAACCAGTAAAGTTACCCCTTGCCCAGCGGAGCCAGACCGCCAACACAACTCGCCACCGCCCACTCAAATATGAATTAAAATGGCTGCGCCCCTGCCGGAGGAGGATGGAGGTGTGGCTTCTACATTAACTTCCGGGGCAGTGGGCGGAGCCAAGAAAACAACGCGCCGGTTACTCGGCAGCGCAGGCGCAGACTTCCCAGGGGGCGGGTCCAGTGCCTTTGCTGACGTCACGGCCCGGGGCTGGAGAAGCTGTTGCGTAGCTGGCTGCGACCCGCTAGGGGGCCGGAAGCTGTTTTGCCTGAAGGTTCGCGCGCCTTTTGGAATTTATTTAGCAAGCTGTGGAACCGGATTCTTAACGATTGGAGACACACGGCCAGTTACTTCAGTTCAGGCCAAATGACCTTCATAGGGAGCAAAGCTCAGTGTTCTGTGCCTCCTGTTAAGAGAGAGAGTCCGTGAAGGTTTCTTTTTTTAATGGCCTCAGCTAATGCCATTTAACGCTTTTTGAGGATGAGAAGGACTGGTCAAACCCACATTTATGCCATCACCATATACTATGGTTCTTCATCTGCAAAGTCAGGGTAATTGAGCTCAGGCTCGGCAGCCAGACAGCATTTCTTTGAATCCTGACTATCAGTAGGTGGGTAACCTTGAGCAACATAACTTTTGGCCTGTTTCCTTGCCTATAAAAAGAAATAAAAACAGGGCCTCCCTGGTGGCGCAGGGGTTAAACACAGTGCTACCAAGCTATCTCCAACCACTGCAGCACCAGTTCGATCTTGGCCAGGCAGAAGCAACCCACTTGGTGCAGCAGACCCCTCCTGTTGTGCCTGCTGTTTCTCTCAGCAGTGTTTTTCAGTAGATCTGTTATAGGACAGGGAGAGGGGCAGCCCAAACCCCGTAAACCTGCCTATTCTAAATGGTTCTGCCATCCGCCGCATCAACACAAAACATATGAGACTTTAATGGGAAGGAACTTTAATACAACTAGGAAACAATACAGGTAAGGCAAAGAGTCTAGTTTCTAAATGAAGCACCCAAAGTTACCTGTCCCCTCGTGGGTAAAACTCCATCCAAATGGGATCGGCCCAGAACAAGGCCCCAAAGCCTGCCACAAGTCTAAAGCATCTTCCAGTGGGGACCCACAGAAAAGGATCAGAAACAACCAAGCAAGCCCAGAAGGAAAAGAGTAAAATCAACATCAAGATAAAAGCTGCCATTGTCACCTCCCCATGGGTCTCACCCACATTTGTGTCACTCAGTCCATGACCACAAGACAAGCGCAGTTTCTTCACGTGTTTCTAGGCTCCATGCGCCTCCTCCAGGTCTCCTGGCTCCATCCTGCTTCCTTTTCTCAGTCTCTTCTGCAGCTTCTCTTCTTCCTACTCAGCTCCACCCTCCCTTGGGTGGGCCAGGGAACCTCCCCCTTTCCTGGGGACCACCCTGTTACAGATCCATCTATTCTGCTTCCCACTCTCTCTAGTGAATCCTCTCACTCCCCCCACTTCCCACACCCCTGGCTTATACCCCAGTTCTTATATGCAAAAATAAATAAGTCAAAAAAAACAAAACAAAACACCTCTAATTTAAGTAAGTTATACATGAAAAAGTGCTCCGAATGGAACCTGGCATAATCTAAGATCAAAAGAGAGAAAATGTCGAATGCCTTTCCATTCATGGAATTTATTAGATGTCTCCTCTCCCACCTCTCTTGTAGTGTCCATGCCCCAGAGCAAACTACTCAACTTTTCCCATACAGCCCTTATTCTGTTGAGTCTTCATTCCTCTGTTCATATTTCCACCACCGCCTTTTTCACAACCTGAGTGCTCACCCTTGCAAATAATCAGACACATCAGCACATCTGTAAATTAACAGCTGTTTGTTGCACCATCCAGCAATAGAATACTAGTTAAATATATCACATCCCTACAATGCAATGTCATGAAGCCAGTAAGCTGATGTTAATTTATAATTAGTGACAGACATCCAAGAGGTTAAGTAAAAAAGCATAATACATAATGTATGTGACATAGAATGTATATATACATAAACATGTATGTATATAGTACCTCAAAACGTTGAACGTAACTCTCTCAAAACGTTGTGTCACATAATTTCTTTGTTGAATTATCTATAATGTACAGCTGTCTTTAACAATAACATTCTTCAAATTTTGACTCATGCCATTTTCCCCAATATTTTTTTTAAAGATTTATTTATTTATGTATACAAGAACTGGGGTACAGGCCACAGGTGTGGGGAGGGGCCGGTGAGAGAGGGTTCATCAGAGACAGAGTGGGGAACAGAACAGGCAGACTGACTGAAATATTGCTGAGGGGAGAAGCAATCAAGACAGGAGAGGTCTGCTGGGCCATGTGGGTAGCTCCCTGGCCTGCCAGGCATTGAACTCGTGCTGCAGTGGCTGCAGATAGCTTCACAGTCCTGTGCTTAACCCCTGCTCCACCAGGGAGGCCCTATCTGATAGTTACCTTGTATTATCCTTTAACTGGTTCCTCTTTTCTGTATTTCCTATAAACCAAAAGTCTGCTCTAGATCTCTGTGTTCTGTATCACAGATTTGGACTCAGTCATTTTTCCATGATGCTTTGTTTCCTTAGTTTGGAATAGAAATTAGAACCAAGATGTGGGCAATAGATGTTCTCTCTGATACTGGAGTATCATTGTTTCTAGGCTTTCCCAGTGTTCAGAGAAAGGAAATGTATTAATTTTTAATTGTGAGTTCATATATGGGATTTATGATTCAAATTTCATATTACTGAAGGGGGGTTTCTTCACTCATTTTACATTTATCTCTCTTTTACAAGGCAAATATTGTTTCCTATGAAATATATTTTAAAGTTTCTAAATTAAGCTCCTTGCTTCTTGATACTCTTGAGCCTCCTAGTCTAGCCTTGAAAAATTGAGGAAATCAAGAACTTTTTGCTCACAGCCTGGCTAAAAGATACCAAATCTGTCAAGATCAAGAAAAATAAGGATAATGTGAAGTTTAAAGTTCAGTGTACTTTCTTTCCTTTTCTCTATCATCATATTGAGTGCTACTGACCTTCTTCTATCTTCTCACCAGATTTTCAGGATCAAAGGGCTCCTGGCCAAGAAACAAGCAGAATCGTCCCGTTCTCCTTTGACTTTGGATGAAAACTGGCAATAAAATCAGGCCCAATTCCAAGAGGAGATATTAGAGAGCTGTTGGAGTTCGGTGAGTAAGCTTCTTGGCTCCCTTTGAGGAAGTATGCAGTAGACTTTCCCATTCAGCAGCACATGGCAAGGTTATCAAGGAAAAGAGAAAGAAAAAATGATACCGGCATAGACATAGATGGGCAGCCTTAAAGAACAAGATCAGCATTTTTCCAGAGCAAGGAGTATCTTTATATAGTGTTCTTTGAGGAAATTACTGTGGAATTTATTGCCTTGAAGTTGGGTTGGGTTGATCTTCTGCAACTGATAATCTTCTCTGCCCCCACTTCAAATTCCCAGAAACTTTCATAGCTGATTTAACAGTTGAAGGACTTTTTTAGGCAGGCCTCCTGCCCACCTGTGTCTATGCAGGTGCCTTTCTTTTCCTAATAAACCTGTCCTTTTAAAATGTAAAAACAAAAACAGTTTAAGGACTTATAAAATCATCTCTTCCACCACTGTCTGGTTTTTGACCTTGTGAAAAAACATCTATTGTAAATTGTTCTACTCTTAACTTCTATAAGAGCCAACCTGGATTTATTAAGAATTGCACATGAAATGCCACACATATTTATGCTGTATCAAGAGTAAGTTAAATAAGGCTGAAGGAGAAAGACAGATACTGTGTGATTTTACTCATTTGTGGAATATTTTTTAAAGAGGTGAGGGTGGGGTGTGTGTGTGAGAGGATTCACCAGAGACAGAGTGGGGAACAGAACAGGCAGATTGAAATACACTGCTGAGGGGAGCAGCGGGTGAGACAGGAGAGGTCTGCTGTGCCATGTGGGTCACCTCCCTGGCCAGGGATCAAACTCATGCTGCAGTGGCTGTGGATAGCTTCATAGTCTGAGAATTAACCCCTTGCACCACCAGGAATGCCCTCTCTGAGTTTATGTGAGGAATTTGATAATATAGTTAGGCTCAATTGTTACTATTTATTTCATTTCAATATTTTCTTTTTTCAGAGGTCATTTTATTTTTAAATATAAAACCCTCTTTATATGGCTCAAGAATCAAAACTATGTAAACCTCCTCAGAGAAGTTTCACTTTAATCTCTATCCCCTCTGCCCATCCAACCATCTTCCCACTCTCTGTAGGTAACCATTTTGTTAATTTTCAACTTGATCTTTCCATTGTTTCTTTTTGCAAAATAAGCAATGCATGTATTTCACTTTGTACACAAAGAGTATGCCATTCTACACTTATTTTTTTTCACTAAGTAGATTGTGGAGGTTACTCCCTAGCTGTAAGTTATTAGATGAAACCGTAAAAATAAAAAATTCACTATTCTTTAAAAAAAAAATTGTGTAGTACTCCACTATGTGGACATACCATAAGTTTACCCACTCCTCTTGATGGTTAAATTTGAATGTCTGTGTTGTTTCCAAATTTTTTGCTGTGTGGATAACATTTCAGCAAAGAATCCTGTGCTGCTGAATCAAAGGATAAATAGACTTGTGATTTTGTTAGATCTTACCAAACCCCTTTTCATGGGAATTATGCATTCCAAAGTTAGTGTGTTTATTTTTCCCACACCCCGTCAACAGTGTATTGTAAAACTTGAATTTTTGCCAATCTGATAAGTAAGACATGGTATCTCAGTATTGTTTCCATCACAAGTCTTTTATTACAAGTGAGTATATGATCTTTTCAGATGTTTAAAGGTCATTTTCTTTTACTCTGAACTGTCTGTTCATATCTTTTGCCCATTTTTCTAATATATCTTTGGTCTTCATTGTCTTGATTTTGACTATTCTCTCTATATGCTATAAAGATTAACTCTTTGAATTGTTAAAAAAAAAAAAAAGAAAGAAAGAAAGAAAAGAAAAAGAAATGTAGAGGTGGAGAGGAAATGTCCCCCTATCTCTCTGAGTTCTTTTTGGACTGATTGAGCAACCAAATTAACATAAGACAGATTAATAGAGAAAAGAACAAATTTAATTATGGAGAATCTACCTGGATATACATTCTAAAGCAGATGTGGCAAAATGAGAATATATATCCTGAAACTAAGGAATGGTATAGGACCCTGGGACTTCAAGAAAGAGGAAACTCACATAAGGAGAGAGTGACTCATATAAAGAAGACCAGATTTACATTTAACTCTGTAGTTAAATTTGTTTTCCCTGCTGTTTAGATAGGTTTCTTTCATAGAAAGTTATTTCTATAAAATCCCTAATTGTGAGTAATATCCATAGTTTTCCCTCTTCAAGGTAGTTAAAGCAGTAGTAAAACTTTCTGGTGAAACTGCAGGGCCTCAAATGACTTCAGCTCAAAATAATCCACATTCCATGGTGACACAATTTGGGAAAGCTTATTCTGAACATCTTGGGTAGGCCTATTCTTCAAAAACTACAGTCCCCAAATGGAATCATTTATGCCAAGTTCCATCAAGACTTAATAACTGACCTAATTACAGTTTCAGCCTCTCCTGAAAGTGGAATTTTATGTCAATTAATGTGGAATTTCAGGTCAGTGCTAATGAGGTAATCTGCATACTAAGGTCCTCCTGTTTTCTCTAAAAGAATGTACTTCTGCCTGAAATAATCTTTCTTTTCTTTTGCTAATAACCTTGTTCACTCTCTGACTATAAAACCTATTTTGTACAACTGTAGAGTCTTTCTACTTGCCAGAGGATGTTGCCTGATTCATGAATTCTTAAATAAAGTCAATTAGATCTTCAAATTTACTTGGATGAAATTTGTTTTAAATAGGTTGTAAATATTTTGTCTTTGTTTCTCATTACCTATTTATTTATTTATTTTTAAAGACGAGGGTCCCACATGGCATGCAGACCTCTCCTGCTGCCCACTGCTCCCCTCAGCAGTGTACTTCGTCAGTCTGCCTGCTCTGCTCTCCCCTCTGGCTCTGGTGAATTCTCTCACCCTCCCGCGCTTCTGACTGTACCCAGTGCTTGTGTAAATAAATAAATAAATCTTTAAAAAAAAAAAAAAAAAGATGTAGGGTAGAGGTGTGGGGGTTGGGGGAAGGGTGGTGGTCGTGAGAGGGTTCACCAGAGACAGAGTGGGGAGCAGAACAGGCAGATCTACTGAAATACATTGCTGAGGGGAGCAGCGGGCAAGAGAGAAGGGGTCTGCTGTGCCATGTGGGTCAATCCCTGGCTGGCCTGGGGAATTGAACTTGTGCTGCAGTGGCTAGAGATAGCTTAATAACACTGTCTTTAACCCCTGTGCCACCAGGGAGGCCCTCATTTATATTTTAATTATGCTTATGGTTTAGGAGGGACAGGCTGTTATTTCTATTGTTGCTATACAATTTCTTTTTTGTTTGTTATGTAGTAGAATTTATTAATCTTTTATTTTTCTTTTATTGGTCTAGGTTTTGAAACTGACTTAGAAGGGCTTTCTCTATTACCCAGATTGCAAAGAATTGCATTTGTGATTTTAATATTCCTCAGGTTTCATTTTTTTCCACTTAAATAGGGTCGCCACATTAGCAAATAAAAATATTGTACAGGGCCTTCCTTGTGGCACAGGGGGTTGAGATGCAGCCTATGAAGCTGTCCATAGCCGCTGTGGCACGAGTTTGATCCCTGGCCAGGGAGCTACCCACATGGCACAGCAGACCTCTCTGGCTCACCCGCTCCTCCCCTCGTCAGTGTATTTCGGTCAATCTACCTGTTCTGTTTTCCACTCTGTCCCTGGTGAATCTTCTCCCCCTGCCCCCTGTACCTCTGGCCTGTACTGTTCTTGTATGAATCAATAAATAAATCTTTAAAAAAATATTGCACACCCAGTTAAACTTTGATTTCCTGTAAGCAACAAGGAATATTTATTATATAAGTATGTCCCAACAGGTAAATGTTGGCAACTATACATTTTAATTGGCAATCTAAAATATGGATCTAAGATCCATTTAAAGTTTTTTTTCCCTGCTGTGTAATAGCTATGAGCCCAGTTTTATCTTCTTCCAAATACAAATTCTCTTTTCAAAGTCTTTTTTTTTTTATAACCAAATTTTAAAAAATTTGTTCATTCCTGGCACTTGAAGTATTCCTTGATGATATCCTTGGCTTGAGAATGTTTGCCATAGTCTTTCACTACCACACAACTGCAACCAACACTTTTATCATTTTCCTCTTTCTGTCAATTTTACAGGGGCTTCCCATTCTCTTAGTTTCTTCTTAGTCATTAACCTTAATTGAATTGAGAAGCAGATCAATAGGCTCATCACTGTTGGATGTAAGTGTGCAAAGATGGGCTTGGTGCTTGTCTAAGTCTTTGATAGCTCATCACTTGCATGCTCTAGGTCATTGTGAATACAGGCAGTCTCTTCAGCACCTCTTGCAAAGCAGTATTAACAGCCATTACATCTCAGGCATCAATGCCTTGCTCCACCATGGGGGTGGAGCTTATTCTTGAATGTACCCCAGACCCACCCTGGGCAAACTGGGTGGTGGCAGGGAAGAGATTCAAAAAGTAATTTTTAATGGAGTAGTGTCAAATAGATTCATGACAATATGATATGTGGCTCCTGAATTTTGTGCTATGTATCTTTCAAAAAGAAAAAAAAAACAACACATTTTCTTGCTTAGCCAACATATCACCATCACATTTAACTAGATTAATAACTATTTAACACCCTCTAACATCTAGAACATGTTCAAATTTTTTCAGTTTTCCCAAAATTTCCTTCACATCTAGTTTGTTTAAACCAAGAGCCAAACCAGGATCACACATTGTTTTTTTGTTTTTTTAAAAGATTTATTTTATTTATACAAGAACTAGGGTATAGGCCAGAGATGTGGGGTGGGGGGGAGTGCAAGGATTCATCAGATACAGAGTGGGGAACAGAACAGGTAGACTGACTGAAATACACTGCTGAGGGGAGCAGTGAATGAGACAGGAGAGGTCTGCCTCGCCATGTGGGTTGCTCACGGCCTGCGGGGATGGAACCGGCGCTGCAGAGGCTGTGGACAGCTTCACAGCATTGCATTAACCAGGGAGGCCCCACACATTGTTTTTTTGTCCCCGATGTCTACATCAAGAATAGTCACTTTT